CCTCTCCCTCCCTCCCTCCCTCCCTCCCTCCCTCCTTTTCAAGACAAGACTGGCCACTAGTGCGCCCACTGCCCAGGTCTTGCAGGACTCCCCTCCAAGGGCCCTTCAGAACATGGCCACCCTGTATCGGTCCAAAGACTGGACTGGGGGATGCAGCTCTCCACCACTGCCCACGACCAGCACTCTCCGGCCTTGTCAGGAACACCTCTGGAAGGATGGCCAGCGATGGAGGAAGCCTCAGGCACACTGCCCAGATCTCGTACGTGCACAGACCCCCTCCCAACACCCCCACTTTCCTGCCTTCTGCAAATGTGCCCCTGCCCCCTATCCTGGCCCTGAGAGCGCTCTGCAGCCAAGGCTGCAGCTGAGGCCCCCTTGGGCCTCCCTGGATGCGCAAGAGAAGAGAAATCAGGTCAAAGTCAAAAAGGAAACGCAAACAGCTCTCATTATCATATATTACAAAAAATGAATGTGCCAGATTTTATGGCTCCTTTTACAGCATTAATGATCACGATGGCTCTGCAAGTTAAGCTGCCGATCTGGGCAATTAAACCTTAAGCTCCCAGCCTAGGAAGGCACTGCCTGGTGCATGGCGGGATATGCTCTCAGTGGTGTCACGGGGGCCGGAGGGCCCCGGGGGGCCGAGCTCGCTCAGGCACAGCCTCCTGCTTGGCTGTTGGGTCAGAAAAGGAGGAGGAGGAGGAGGAGATGCTCTCCTTCACCCCTCCCCCCCAGAGGGGAGGAGCCTGCAGGTAGGAAGGGAAGGACCCAGCCAGGAGGAAGCAGCCCCACTCGCCAGAGCCCAAGACCCCAACCTGAGAGGGAGGGAGGAAGAGGGGGTCTCCAACCCAGCCAGTTGCACCTGCACTCTCCCTATGGCCTCCCATCCTGATCAGCAGAAAGTGCCAGCCTGGGGATGCCTGATCCCAGAACCACCTTTCCCAATCCTCTGCTCTCCAGCTGTGCAGGTCAGGGATACCCAGAGGTTCCCTGCGGCCTGGCAGTTCTGGGAGGTGAAGGCCAACATCTCAGGAAGGCTTTGGGAGGAGAGGGGCTGGAGCACCCCCACAGCCCCAGACCATTTTGGAGGTGGCTGCATCCTGCTTCTCTGGACTGGCTCAGGCAGTTGGGGGGAGGCTGGCTGAGCAGCCCCACTCGGTCGTCTGGAGAGCTTGTCCACACAGCCCGCTCGCCTGGCACAAGGACGGCCCTCTAGCCGCTTCTGGAGAAGACCCTCCGCCTCCTTCCAGGCCCACTCCAGGCGCCCCACAAAGCAGCCCCCGCCCTTTCTAGCTCTGCAGCCGCTTTCTGGCCGGGCCCAGCTCGAGTGGGGCTGTGTGGGCGGCCTGCTGGGCTGGGTCTCCCTGGAGCAGGCCAAGGGGGCTCCCTCCAAGGTGGAAACCAAAGACCCGCCCCGAAAGGAGAGCAACGGGACATCGGGGCAGAACATCCGGCCAGCTGGAGACCAGGCGGACTCCCGGAGGACAGCCTCTTAAGCCGGCTTCATTTCCAGCAGCAGCTGAAGAGCCCCAAGACCGCACTGGCCTTTGCCCCGAGGGAGAAGAAACGCACCCGATGGAAGGGGGAATAGCCTTCAGGGAAAGGGCGGGCGGCAGACGCCGCCTTTCCATCTTCCCCAGCCCCGCTTCCTCCCCTCGCAGCCCTTCGGGGCAGGCCAAAGGCCTCAGCCCCCCTGTCTGCCCCATGCTCCCCTTGACAGCCAACTGATGCCTCCTGACAATGGTTGGCACCGCGGGACCTGACCGGGTCTCTGGTCCTTCTGGATCTCTGGCTGGGTTGTTCCGGTTAGTCTTTGCAGAGGGAGAACCCACCTGGCTCCCCGTTTGCCCCACACGTGCCTCGCTGACGCAGGTCGCTGCCCCCTCCTTGCCAGGCCAGCCACCACCCGCCTGCGGGAACCTCTCCAGCCTGGGGCACTCCCTTCACCTTCACAACTGGGAGGCCTCCTGGTGGGGGCCTATTCTGAGGTGGGGCCTGCTGTCCTCCTGAGGGGCCAAGGGGAGGGAAGTGCCCCGCCCTGGCTGCTCCCCCCTCCGCAGCCTGGGCCAGCCCCCTCGCCTTGGAATCGCTGCTGCTGCTGCTGCTGCTGCGGTGACATCATCTGCTCGGGATTCATCACAGACACATTTTACAGCAGCTTTATTAGGAGTTATTAAAGGACGGAGCGGCTTCCACTGTTCGTTCATTAAATATTAATAGAGCATTTATAAAGCAATCCTTAATTTAAAGTGTTACCTTTAATCAAAGGCCTGATGCTAACCAGCCAGCTTCAGGAAAGCGGCTGCTCCTTCCCTTCTTCCTCCCACACCTAGCCCCCCACCCCCGAAGGGGCCGGGGGGACTGCCCCGGAGGATTCCCAGAGCCAGAACCAGCCCGCTCCTGGGGGGGCTGGCTGCGGAGCTGGCCAGGGATTTGCATCAATTGCACACGCCACACGCCCCCCCCACACACGCACTTGCACAAGGCCAGCCCTGGGCCCGGCTCAGCCTAGGAGGCCGAGGCTCAGCTGAGGACCAGGCAGTCCGGCTGCACCCTCTGCCTCTCCAAGCCAGCGCGCCCAAAGCCGTTGCGACCTCCTGCCTTTTCTCTTGGGGGCCTGGTGGCTGAGCCCCCCGCCCCAGCGCCACAGATGTGCTGGCCCTTACCTGTCTTGCTGTCCACGGTGAAGTGCTGCTCCCCCTCCAGGACGCTGTAGACCACGCGGGCGCTGCTCCCGTAGGTGGGGTCGTCCGCATCAGAGGCCAGGACCTGCATCACCGAGGTCCCTGAAGGGGAGGGGAGGGGAGGGGAAGGGAAGGGAGGGGAAGGCCAGGTGAGCGACTGCAAGGGCTCGGCTGCGGCCCCCTCCCCCCTCACAAGCCCAGCACCTCCTCCAGTGAAGGCCCCCCTAGAAAGGGGACAAACAGGACCAAGGTCCATCCAGTTGCTGCAATTAAGTGATGCCCTCCGGCCCTGGCCTGAAAGGGGCGCTTCATCTGGCTGCCGCTGAGATCTGCATCCTGCCTTTCCGACAAAGGGGGCACCCGAGACGATGGTGACGAGCGTCGGAGGAGGCCTCTTAGTGCCTGACCAAGCCGAGGGGCTGGAGGGGAGCCGCCGGGCGCTTGGGAAAGCTCCAGCACGTTACCCGGAGCATTTCTAAGTAGCACAGGGTGAAGAAGTGCGCCAAGCGCGCCGCTCATCGCCGGCAGGAACTTCAAGGCCTCTCCAAAGCAGGCAGGACGAAGGATCCCCTCGGTGCGTCCTGGGGAGGGGCCGCAGGGGCGGGCACGCGGCTGGGAGTTCCAAGGGCGCCTCAGTCACCTGCCACGCTGCCCCGAACTGAGGCCGATCCCACGGGAGATGGCAGCTCCGAGCTGCCCCCTTAATTTCACTTAGAGAAGGCTTTCTGAGTGGCCAACGTGGCAGAGCCCAGCGGGCCGCCTGCCAGAAGAGCCCCAGCTGTGGGGTGTGGGAGAGCCGAGGGCGGCTGGCAGGCTTGGGCACAGAGATGCTACCCCTGTGCTGGGCAGTCCTGGCAGAGGAGAGCTTTTCTCCAGCCCTCAGGGCAGCGGGCGCTCTGCCCGCCTCCCTGCAGCCATTGGATGGGCCTCCTCTCAGCACCGACCAGGCCTGGGATAACCCTCCGCCACCCTGAGCTGCTGTCCCTCCTCCGGGCAGGGAGGCTGGCCCGGCGACTGCAGCCACACAAACCCCCAGCCTCTGGGCCCAGCCCCGCACCACCTTCCTCGGCCAGGCAAGGACGAGATTCTCCTTGCTGGAAGGGGGGGTACCTGCCATCACCCCCCACCCACAGACTTTGGGCCAACCTGCCAGGCAGGTGGCTCTGAGAAGAAGCTTTCTCCATAAGGGCTGGCCAGCTCCCTCCAGCAAGCTCTGTTTCCCTGCTGCACCTGCCCGGCAGCTGCCTGCCTTGCGGGCTAGATGCCTTGGAGCAGAGGCCCCACCAAGCTCTGCCCTTCCTCACAAACTGGTCTGACGCCATCCAGATGCTCCACCTCCCTTTTTTGAAGCCATCTCCCCGTGAGAATGAATTCCACAAGCTGACAGTCGCATCACACGCTTAACCCCAAGCCCACATGCGCAAGGAAATAGACCCACTACGGCTCGAGGGGATGGCCCGGTCCCACAACATGCTGGGCTCCCAGCCATCCGACCCTGCTCTAGCCACTCCTAACCTTGGGGAGGTCCCAGCTGGCGAGCGAGGGGAAGGGCCGTTTCTTCGTGGTCTGCACTGAATGGCAGTGCAATTCTGCGATGTCTGGCGCGGGCAAGAAACCGTGACTGCATGGTGCCAACTTGGCCGTGGCTCTGGCGCAGTCCAGTGTCCAGTTTGGGGCAAGGCAGCTTCAGAGGGCATTGCTCCAAGGAAGGGCCAGAGAGGGAGGGAGAAGGAGCCTGGAAAAGAGCTGGGAGCGACGAGGAGAAACTGGGAGCCAGGCGTGCCGACCACTAAGGATCAGAGCAGACTGCGGAACACGAGGGTTGGAAGGAGGCTGGGGGTTGGCACTGGATCGACTTCACGAAGTTTCAGCGAATGCCCTCCGGACCCAGGACTTGCAAACTGGCCTTCCACTCCAGTCCAATTTCAACCCGCCTTCTGGCCCCCAGAGCAGCTTCTGCTACGGAGCCACTGAGCGCAAACAGCACCGTGAGCTGCGGTGCCCGCGCAGGGGAAGACCTGCAGCCTGTGCGGGGGATGCGCCGTGCTTTTGGTGCTTGGGGCAGCCTCTAAGGATTCCTTGGGTCAGCACGGGTGGACCACATCTTCCATGTTTCTCTTTTTTTCTAGTTTATTTTATTTTCCAGGGCTTATAGGCCACTCCAATCATGACAGACCTTTCTAGGACGGGCTAGGGTTTCTCTGCTTTCCGAAGCTGTGTTAAGCCAGCTTTAAACTAGCATGATGGCTTTGCGTTTTCTCCAGATGGCTGAATCCCAAATTTGGCAACATGGCCAGATGGGCCTGGGTTGCCCCCCAGCCACGAAGGGCTTGTCAGAAACCCTCAAGTGGGCCTGCTGGGAGCCGAGAAGCAGAGCAGGTCCTGCCTTGGCTGGCCATAGCTGTAATGGAGGGAACAAGCAGCCAGCTTGGTCTAAGCCAAGATTAGGCCAGCCCTGATTTAGAACCAGGAGGCCTGGCACTTCTGCCCCAGCAGCCAGCTCCTTGCTCTAGGGAGAGCGCGAGCCACCGTGCCCCATCTCGGCTATTCCTGCAGCCCAGTTGAGAACCCAACTTGGCCTTTTTGCCCCACAAAGGCACGTACCCTTGCCAACATCTCCTGGGTGAAGGACTCACACCGCTCTCCTTTCCTCCCTCACAGCATCATTTTCGTGCAGCATCCAAGGAGCTGGTTCTCCATTTCGGAAGATTGAACTGTGTGTCCTAACGATTCAGAGATCTACTTTTTAATTTCCTTGTTTTGATCTAGTTTATTTCTTACAAAATCTCCTTCTCCTGAAGAGCCATTTCTTGGCACCATCTTGAACTCCTCTGCACCTTCTTCCAACCATGGTTCTGGATGAAACTCTAACAAGATGGACCCAAGAGACCTGTGTGAATGCTACCATTCCCAGGACCCAGCAGAGATGGTCAAGAAGAAGTTGCTTTGGGCAAAGCTTACTGTATTCTTTTCCATGGCTGAGGGCCAGTTTGGTAGTTGGGGGAAAGCTGTGCACATGCGAACCTTGATCTCAGCAAACCACCTGACGGAGTCTCTCCTGACATCCTGGGGGCAAGGTGGATAACGGCGCCTGGATGGGTCTGCAACCGGCGAAGCGTCATGCCAGGAGGCTTCCTCCCCACCCCCCGAAGAGGCATGAGTGGACTCCCCCAGGGCCCCACCCTCCCCGGTGCTTTGAAAAGGCCCCCAAGAGGGGAGGGAAGAGATGCAGTCAGATCTGCAGAAGACCCTTCCATTGCACTCTGCACTGGTTCGGCTGCCCGGGAGTCCTGAGTCCAGTTCTGGGCACCGCACTCTCAAAGGGACGTGGAGAAGCCGGAGAGCTACCAACATGGCGAGGGAGGGCCAGTCCTGCAAGGAATGGTTCAAGGAGCGGCACGGTCAGCTTGCAAATGAGAGGAGTAGGGGGAGACATAAGTTCTGTCCCTTTCGAACCTGTGTGCAACATCAGGATACACATACAAAAGGGGTGGATCTTGCACCCCAATTGCGCTTTCATTATTTCCCCCCATTGTTCCTCCCCCCGCAAGAAATTGCTGGCAAGAGCTGTTAAGCAGTGCAGCAGTGGCTGGATGGTTGAGTAGATTCCTGCATGGAGCAGGGCTGGACTAGGTGACCCAGAAGGGCTCCTCCATTCTAGGCTAGCTTCTGGGCAGCCTGGATCCTGCTCCCTGCCAGCCATGGTGCTGCTTTGCCAGCGTGGGTTTGTGTTTAGGTCAGGCCAGTGGCAGCAGCCCCGTCCCTGGCAAGTGGCCCCCACCCAGACACACAAGGGACGCCACGGAAGATGCTCCTGGTGGCTCCAACTGCCTGGTGGGTGGGGGGGTCCTGCTGCTAAGCACCTTCACACGCAGGCGTGGCTACAGCACTCACGGCTGTGACTTGCTCAAAAGAAGTTGTGAGCGCTGAAGGAAGAGACCTTACAAGGACATCGTGCTGGGCCCACATCCCTTCCGTGTGCCGCTGCAGTCAGCAAGACAGACGAAGGCAAGAAACCCACAGCAAGATGCCCCCAGAGATGCCCCACACACACTACTCGAGGTTGGCCTGCAAGCTCAGCTTTGCGCTTCCTGAGTCCCTCAAAGATGGCATGACGCAATAGCCTGTTACTTTGCAGAGATCACCGTGCTTCGTGCTGGCGAAGCACACTCCCTCCTGCCCGTGGTCTCCTATTTGGCGCAGCCGCTGCTTCCTCTGATGGGCAACGTTCCTGGAATCCTCCGATCCAGCGCTTCCCGAATCCATGCCATTTTCAGAGTCTCAGCTCAGACCCCCCCAGAGCCCCAGAGGGGCCAAGCAGCTGCCCAGAAAACCGCCAGAACAAGCTGCCCTGTGTTCCCCGCCAAGGAGGGGGCCAAGGGAGCTCCAGGATTCAGGAATATGTGCCAAAAGACTCCGCGTCTGGGGCAGGAGCCTGAGCCCCAGGGGCGCCTGAAGAGCAGCCGTTCCTGCTCAAAGAGGAATCGTAACAACAGCAGCAGCAACTAGTTACTAAATGTTTCCTCACAGAAAAACAATACAAGTCAATTGATAAATAGTCCTAAAAGCCATTATCCCAGTACAGTGCAGGCATGTAAGACTGATTGATTGACTGACTAACTGATTGCATTTACAGGGCTGTCAGACTTGGGACTCTTCTGGAAAACGCCTCCTCTGCTTCCTCAGCGACCGGCTCCCTTTCCTAGCAGTGCCCTGGCATTTGTCTCCAGAATCCGGTTGAGGCTTGGCAAGGCCCCATCCCTGGGTTCGACAGGGCATGCTGAGCGATGGCTCTGAAACTGGATCATGCCAATCTTGGCAGACCAGCAATGGGGTTGGGCTCGTATTCCCTGGGAATATATCAACCCATAACTTGCACGTAAGGGGGCAGCGGACCGGTGCTTTTGCACCGGGACCCCGGAGGATTTGCTTGGGGGAGAAGAAGCAGGACCACTGCGTCCTCCTTTGCTTCCCCCTGTAAGCCCCTCCCCCGCCCTCCTTTGCCCCCAGACGCTGCTGCTTGCCAGTGACTCAGACCGGCCAAGATAGCAGCAACCGCTGCGGCCGCTGGAGGGGGGCTGTGGGGGGCTGTGGGCCTGGAGAAAAGACTGACACTGCCCCACCAGCCGCCACCTGCACACCCGGTCTGCCGTGTCCTGGAGCACTTCATCGCATCTCCAGCCCTTAAGAGGTCCTCCTGAGCTCTTCTGGTTTTAAAGAAAGGCTTTGCCCTCAAGCTGCACCTATCTGAGGCAGCGCAATGTGCACGAAATCCAACATGCTTCGCCAGCTGTCTTGGTGGCAAAGGGGCTGAAGAGAGCCTGGTGCCTAGTGGACACTTCAGGCCTGTGCAGGCACTCCCCCTCCCCTCCCCTCTCCCATGTTCAGGATGCAGCCCAGCACAGAGGCTGAAGGCAGGATGGGGGTTGGCAGTGGAGGTGGCAAATGTTATGCCAGATCCAAGATGGGTGCAGACCACTTTAAAGGAATCAGGGGGAGGGGCCGGCTCATACACTCCCCTTCGGGCATCTTGTTAGTCCCGTCTCATGCCCTTTATGGAGGCCTCAGCAAAAGTGGGCTAAAGGAAGCTGCAGGAGCGGAGACTAGGGCAGCCAACGCCGCAGGAGCAGAAGCCAGGCAGAGGAGCCTGCAGCCTGCCTTAGGAAGGCCCGGAGCCCCGACAGAAGCCAGCGCCACACAGAGACCCATCTCTTCCCGGGATCCGGAAGAGAAGACCGGGAGGACAAGCCCTGGGAAGCGGCAGGTGGGGCAGCACTCAGCTTTACCGGGAGACCACTCAGCAGGAGGGGGTTCTATGGCCCCTGGCCCAGCTTGGGGGCAGGATGGAGACCCAGCCTCATGCCACAGGGACTCACCAACGGGGGAGAGCTCGGCCACGCTCCCGATGTAGGGGCCCCCCAGGAACCGGGGCTCGCTGTCATTGATGTCCTGCACCTTGATGACAAACTCCGACTCGGGCTCCAGCAGCTGGTTGGTCTGGCGGTCCCGTGCCTGAGCTTGCAGGGTGTAGAAGGTTTTCCGCTCGCGATCGAGACGTTCTGTGGCGTGAATGTCCCCCGTCAGCTCATCAATCAGGAAGATGGTGCCGGCACCCTCTCCAGAGATAGTGTACTTGATGGAGCCGTCCCCCTCGTCTGAGTCTGAGTGAATCTGGAGAAGACAGACAGATGGAGGTCAGGAGCACGGGGTAGAGCTACGATTGTGGTCTGGCTCCAGCACTTGAGGGAAAGCCATGGCCAGGGGGGGCGACTGACCACAACGCCTTCTCCTTGTGCAGCAAGGAGGCCTCAGAGAAGATGGGGTCACGCAGCCCCATCTCACCCCTCATCCTGCACCACTGGTTTGGCCATCAGGGCTTCCCAATTGGAAGGACTCTCAGGACCACTCTAATGCTTAAAAGAGGGGCTGGACGGGCAGGGGGCTGCTTCTGAGGAAGCAGAAACAGCCTAAATCTGTTCTGACACACCAATATCCTTCTGGAAATGGGATCCTTCTCCTAAACCTAATCCAGGCCCATCCTTAAGTTCTGAGTCTTTAATTACCTAAGAACCTAACCTTGGAGTTCCGCCTCTTTTGGTCTCCTTGGCCAGCTAGAACTTGCCTTCTTCTTGGGGCCTTCTCTTGAAGGCAGGATCTCACCCCTTACCCTGCCCACTCCTTCCTGGGGCAGTGGGTGGACCCAGGAAACAAAGACCAGTCAGGGTGACCCAAGAGGGCCGCCTCCTTCCAGGCCACCAAAGGCAAGTCTAGGTCGCCTGGGTGCCAGGTGGCAGAGCAGATTTATGCTGCAGAAAGCCATTCAGGGAGGCTTCCCAC